CAAAGAACGTCTCACGTGCTCGACAATACTCAGTTTAATTACACACTCTCTGACTGCAGTTCAATTACTCCTTACCTCCGTCGTTTCGTGGCCGGTCTTATATATACAAGACTACACTATATCTAGAAGAATCACGAGATTTAAGGAAAAGACGTGAATGTTCGAGAATGACGTGGCGTGATACTAGTCACGTGACCTCGCTGACGCAACAATACCCTTGTTGTTGCAAGGAACTTGTATATTCAAATAATGCATCAAATTGAAATACACTTCTTTTCAAACTGTCAAAGATATTTTACAGTGAACCGTAAACAAGTATTCGTCAAAGTTCAATGCAGTAGTACTAGTAACTAAAAACTTTCAATTACTGAATTAGGATATTAAACTTGGATCTTTCTCTTGCCCCAAACACTCGTTTAAAATAGTTTCGATCTTATCTCTTCAAAAAGTTAATTGCTTTTAATTTCTTTAATTTCTCTACATTTCTTCCTTGGATTAAGTAATTCAATAAACAATTATCTAAGAAAGGTGTACATGTTTCAATGATTCTTATTACACAACTATTTCTTCCCCCGTTCCAATTGATTTCGTACTACTACCAGTACTAGCTGCAACTTAAGTTGATATCAAGAAGTACGTGACTTCAGGCGGTCCAATTAAAAAGTGATTTTCCACTCGGCGTCTTTATCTATATCATGTACCACCCTCCCTCACCCCTTGACAGATCGTTAAACCACACAAGAAGAAATCATAGACAGATGTAGCGAGCAACAAGCTTGAACTAAAAAAAGATTTGTCAGCACCAGAGCGGGGTCATGAAAAAAAAATTCCAGTAGTTCACACGATTTACTATTTGTATTTTCATCATTCTTAATAAATCGTCACATTTAAGTAACAGTGCTTTCTGAACTTTACTCACTAACACAACAACCGATGTTTTCATCATAGAACAATTGTTAAAAACAGGGCATACACACAGGCACTCATGCACACAGCAGTTACGTGCAACTTCCACAAAGAGATAATATAATCTTTGAATTTTATGGAGGGAAGGGAATATGGACAAAAACAGCTATGTATTGTAGACGGAAATTTTTTTAATAATTGAAGACGATATTTTTTCATTAGGCACCTTTCATCAAGGTCAATTACAGGAAATTTGCAATTAAGCGTGAACAAATAGCTTTTGTTGAGTTAGTACAATGCTCATAATCCGTAGACATAACTAACTAATTTCTTCAACCTTCTGGTGATAATTTAACATTAGAACAGGCTATATACACGACTCCTGTACTGCATATAGTTGAATACTGTTCTCATCAGATGAAACTTGCACCCGTACATGGACAACAAGAACATGGTGCGGTCATTTCCTTTTACAATGACACTGTAATAACTGTTAAGCCACTTCAAGTGGACTTAGGCAGTGTGTTTAATACATCGACTTATCATTTTTCTTAATTTAGAGACGATGTTTCGAGCTTCATTCTGTGTCCTTTATGAGGCTCTAAACTAGATTATCTTGGTAAAAAGATAGCTTATCAAAATATTTTTGTCGAGAAACATTAAAAAATCTGGACTAACAAATTATGTCTCCCATTTTCTATAATACAAATTAGTTATGATAATTTAGTATAAATAATGCATAATTATAATAAATAATGTAAATCAGATCTATATATACAGTTTTTATTTCATTAATTACACTATAATTGGATGACGGCTCAGCATTAAGCCTGCAACATCGTCTCAAAATCAAGAAAAATGGCAGAAGTCCATGCAAATCTTATATCGCATGTTGAGTGATTTTAATTTCGTGCGAGCGTTCTGTATGTAGTTTAGATAGTCTCGTTACTTAGATGTCAAAAGGTAGTAAACATCTGCTAATCCTTTTACTAAGTAGAGGTTGCATATGGCAACGTCTAGAAACTTGTATTACATTTTGACACTGTGTCTTCTCCTTAAAAGGCAAGCCCATGTTAAGGGGTGACATAAATACTTGTACAAATTGGTATGAGTTAGATTCTTTTTTCTCCTTCTCTTTTATAGGTGTTATTTGGAACAATTGGTGATGTATGCAGCTTGAGAAAATGGTATACACCACTTGGACTCTTTGTCTTACTGGAATTTGTCTGATTTTTACATCAGAATTCTTGTCTTTGTCCTGTGCAGATGTTGTAATAAAAAATTCCCCTCTACGCCAGCAACCAATAAGAAACAGGCAAAAGTTGCAAGTCAGCCAAAGGTAAAATAGACTACACTTTGTGGTGAATAAGTATCTGTTCTTGTGTACTTAGCTTTCTTTTGCTGTCTGTGTTCAAAATATTCTCTGCAGTATAGTTTTGGAATACCTGTTCTTGCAGAAACTTTCGATTTATCAATTGGACATCAGTGTATCTGAATATCACAACTGTTAGAAAAATAAAATTGTTTTGACTGGTTCCTCACCATTCTTTACCAAACCTTAAATTTCTTTTCTCCTGTCCAGTTGTTTCATAATTCAACACACCAAAAAATCGAAGGCCTTTTATTTTCCTTCTGCTAATCTCATGACCTTCAATCATATCACTTCTTACCTTTCTCTTCTCAAGAAAAAGGTAAGAGATCTTAATTTATTTGCATAGAACAACATCGGAGAGTAAGGAAACAATTTACTTCAATTCCTTTATAGTGGTCTACAAGCCATTATGAGAGAACATACATTGTAATTTTCTCACAGTGACCAATGAGACTTAAAGTTTGTTAGGCCCACTTTAAATTCAGTAAAGACTGAACAAGGGCAGTGAATCATATCAAGTTAATTAGGATACTTTACAATATAAATACTCTCCAAAAGAGAAAGAATAAAGAGTAAAAATACAGACAGAAAAGAAAAATTCTGGATCTTAATCATAGGTACAAATGATCAATGTGATTAGTTTAGGTATGCTGCAGAAATTCCTATTATAAAGTTTAGTAAGTTATCATGACTTACTTTCAAGTACAGAGTTAGTTTATATTTCACTTGTGTTACACACAGTGTTACAATGTGTTAAATTATACAGTATTACTGTGTGTTAGTATATACCTAGCATTTGTTTTTGATTGCAAGAACAGTTAGTGCAAGTTAAATTGTAAGTACAGAACTACTACTAGTACTTTATTAATTATAGATCTAATTTTAGAGTAAGATAAAGTTTAGTTTTAGAGCATGTATAAGGCATCAATTCTGAGACAGAAACTAAATATTCTATTGGTAAGATCAGTCACAGTGTAGAATCAGCAGGAGCCTAGCTGTGGGCAACTTTAGAGTGGATGATTCTCTGGAACATGGGATCAATAGCCAACACAAATTAGGTCTGCAAGATGTACCAGATAGTGACACATATTGGGTACATTGACACCTCATCAAGCTGAAAGGACACCTTGCCACACTCTGTTACTAACAGGTAGATATAACACAGATGTGCCTAGTTACCAGTTATAAGCAGAGATAACTGGCATAAGGTTCTGCACAAAGTAAATTTCTCAAAGGTGGGAGAGTATCTGTATATTCTATTGGCTAGTGTGCAAATAAATCAGTAATGGCTGCTCCACTTTAACATG